CGTGACCTTCCAGTATATAGAGCAGGAGATGTACAACACTGTGATTGCTCACTGCCTCAGAAGGATGGTGTAGAGCAGAAACCCCCCTGGTGTATGTATGTTTACAAAGTGTGTGTGAGTGCTACTGTTGTGACATATATTGCAAAGCATGCTTAAATACAGAAAATTTAAGACGGTGGGATGAAAGCCTACTCAAATAATTTTATAGAATGATGTGAATCCTTTTGTGTGCATTAAAATATTAAGATATTAAGTGTGTTTCATAGCTGAAGCGTTTGGGGATCTGGTTCTGCACTTTAGATACTTGGCGTTGATGGCTGCTGTAGCTGCGAAGGGCACTTCACAGACAGGTGTCAATCCCAATAGGAGGAGTACTGTATTGGTTGCCTGGGTGTTCTCCTAACTCGTGATACTTGTTTTATTCAGTCCTGTGAAGATGCCCACTCCTCAAAGAACCCTTGTCTGACCTAGTTCCTCCCCACTTTGCCATCTCGTGTGTGCACGAGCGCCCTATTACACTTAACTCCACTCTGCTCCGCTTGGCTTGCTGCATATCTGACTTCCTCGAGAGACCGTGTGCATCCTTACTCTGGGAAAAATAGAAGTTCTCGGATTTCCTCAGTTAAAGGAAGGAAAGGCCCCAATTCTGCTGAGCTTTGAGTTTGCCAGCCATTATTGATTCTCAAGGGTTCCAACATCAGTCTCATTGTCTGTTTTCCTGTCTTAAAATCGGGCTCTTGCCTGGACTTGGTCCGTGTGTCATTTGGACCTGGAGGTGGGGAAAACTGGTAACCTTGACGGCTGAGAGACATTGTGGCCTGAACGCAGTGGCCCTTTGGCTGCTGGAGTTGTTTGCTAAGCATTTGTGAATAGTCAGGTACCCGGGCCTCGTCTTCTGCTTTAAGGGGTTTGGGAGTGGGGCGCCTGGGTGGGTCAGTTGGTTGAGCGTCCGACTTCAACTCAGGTCATGATCTCACAGTTTGTGGGTTCAAGCCCCGCGTCGGGCTCTGTGCTGACAGCTCGGAGCCTGGACCCTGCTTTGGATTCTGTGTCTCCCTCTCTCCCTGCTCCTCCCCCACTCACACTCTGTCTCTCTCTCTCTCTCTCTCTCTCAAAAATAAACAAACATTTAAAAAAGAAAAGGGGAGTGTGGTTTGGGAATTTCCAGACCCAGCATTTTTGGGAGTGCCTGAGATAGCAAAGCAGCTTGAGATGCAAGGATTCTGTTTGAATTGGCCACAGCCTAATGCTCCGTATCTGGGTCAGCAACTTCTCCACTCTGGAGGGTAGATCTAGAAGTTTCACTGGACAACCATTTAAAAATAAGTGAGCAGTTTCTGCTGTATTCCACTTTCTGGATGGACCACGCTGGAAGGCCCACAAGTGAGATGCAAGGTACACGGAGAGCCGGGCAACTTCCGAAGAGGCCTGGAGGGCAGCGAGTGACAAAGGCAGGGTCTAGTGACTTGGACTCTTGGTCTTATCTTCTCTCAGGTTCTTTACCAGCATCAGGAAGCCTTGCTGTGCATAGATGAGGTGACGACCAGGGACAGTGTTGGCTGCTCTTTGAGGAAGCTGTTTGTGTTGACGAACTCTCAGCTCCCTGACAGGGTCATCTGAAACCAAGCTTAATCTTCTGCCTTGCCCATAAAACATTACTGAAGCAGCAGAAAGTGGTTGAAGGGAGGCTCTGGAGTGTTTTCTTTGTATAGCAGAGTTGAGGCCTCAGTGAGTAGTCAGAACAGGTTGATGCATCTTGAGGATGAAAGGGCAACAGAAAACTTAACCAGAAATCTCTCCGAGGCCGTGAAGAACACAGATGGAATAGCAGTCCTTACTGACTGCATCAGTGTGTGGGTGCCCTCCTCATTCAGAAGGAAGGAGCCGCCTTCTTTGTTATATTGGGATGATGATGAAGTCACCTTTTCCTCCTGATATGAAAATGCACGCCGGTGATGGAGAGCATGGTCTCCGGTTAGATTTGATAGCCAGGATACGCTTGTCCTTCGAGTTTTGAAGTTAACATGGCAGAATACTCTGCTTTCCACAATGGTCCTTGGGACGTTCTCATTAACCTCACTTTGAAGAACATAATTATCCTTGTGTTAGAAGCGATCGAGAATATTTCTCCTGCCTAATATTGTTTAAGCATTTGTCGAGTCTGAGAACGAAGCCGAGCTGCGCTTGAGAGGAGAGAATTACTATTCGGTGAAATACATGTTGTGTTTAGAAGAGAAGATACATTTTAAAGAAACAACACAGCTCCAAATGTTAAATCTACCCAAACTGCTTTTCTCTCGCCTTATTTTAATTGTGGGTTTCAATGCCTCGCTACTCTCTTCCAAAGACATTTCAGTTTTATCCTCTGGGAACCCTGGGCCCTTCAGTGAGAAGCACCGTGGCAGGAAATCCGCCTCTGGAGCTGCAGGAGAACCGCTGTGATTTTAGAAGTGAGTGGTGGTGGTGTCCTGTCATGTGTATGACCGTTCACGACGGACTCCATTTGGCCAGGCCATCTTGCTCTCACGGACAGTGTCTCACCTAGAAAATGGGTTCTTCCTTACAAAGAAGGTCCCATGAATTAATAACTGCATCACCAAGAATGCTGAAAAGCGCTGTGTAAAGGCCGCACATTGTTGTCAAGCTGTTGTTCCTGGTGGGTGGCTAGGTTAGTATTGTTTTGAAGGTTAGGATCCAGATACCAGCTCATCTATTCTCCAGCTGTTGTTTATCCTTCAGTTTCCCAGAATACTCAGGCACAAGGTCTTTTAAAAATGGGTTTGGGGCTGCTTTGCATTTTGGTGTTTAGTAATTAAGTCATTACCGATTTAGCCTTTGTTCACTGGCGGGGAATGTAGGTAGGGGAACAGAGAACACTGCACCCCTTAGAAGCAGTGGCGTGTAATACTGAATTTCTGATCAGCTCCTCTCTACCTCCACCCACCCCTTTCCACTGATAGGAGCCCGTTTACAACATCTACCAAAGGGGCCGTCCACGTTCTCAGCTCCCCGAGCAGCCCACTTCATTTCACTCTCTGTCTCTTTTTAAATGCTACTCATTTTTTTATTAGACAGTACATTTATATGGTATAAAATTCAAAAGGTGAAAAGAGCCTGCAGTAAGAAGTCTTCACCCCTGCCTTCCAGCCACTTGGGACAGTCGGTGCTACCAATTTCTTAGGTAACTCTTCAGGTTGACTTGATGTGTCGCTATATTCTCCCCCCACCACCTTTGTTATGTACCGTGTCTGTACTGTACATACTGTTCTCTGCCTTGTTGAGTCATTTGAGCAGTATGTGTTGGAGAAAATTCAGTAGTAAGTGGGGAGTACAGCAGTGAGAGATGTTTCTAGAATTGACATCAAGATAGAATCTAAGGGCACCTGAGTGGTTCATTCGGTTAAGCGTCTGACTTTGGCTCAGGTCATGATCTCGCTGTTTGTGGGTTCAAGCCCCGCGTCGGGCTCTGTGCTGACAGCTCAGAGCCTGCAGCCTGCTTCCGATTCTGTGTCTCCCTCTCTCTCTGCCCCTCCCCTGCTCACACTCTGTCTCTGTCTCAAAAATAAATAAACATTTAAAAAATTTTTAAAGATAAAATCTAGTGTGTCTCCTGGCGACCTCTAGCCCAGCCACTCCCAAATGCTGAACATTTACACCCAGCTCATCGCCTGACATTGCCAGTGGGGTCCCACAAAAGGCCAAGCCAGACCTTTTCCACTGTTGCCAAGCTCCATCTCTGTCTTGGGTTGAACAAACCGGAAACTAAGACCTCATCCTTGACACCTTCCTGAATTTCTCTCCAGTCAGTCAACATTCCTTCCCATCCTCACCTACCTCCTTGTTCTGGGCCTTCTCGGGCTTTGTGTTGGGTCTTTTGGCATGTCCACTCTTTCCTCTCTCCAGTGTGTTTTCCACACACAGAGATCTTTTAAACCACAAACCTGACCACGTTGCTTCCATGCTTGATACCTTTTGATGCCTTCCTGGTACTCTTAGGACAGAGGTCAAACTGATGGTCGCGTCTACGCAGACCAGTCCCTGCAGGCTTCTCCCAGCCTGTTTTTCCTCTCTGCAGTCCAACCACAGGAACCAGACTTGCCCAGCCTCACCTGCCAGAGTATTCTCTTTCTATTCTCTGTCTAGAATGGTGTTCTTTGCTACCCTTGACTCATCTGTCAGAAGTCAGGCTCCATTTCCTCAAGCCTTCACCACCACCGCCCCCGCCCCGCCCCCAAACTGGATGGGGTCCTCAGTTAAAGGTGGGGACAGTACCATCTTCTCCTATTGTACATGTTAAGGCTGTAATTTCCACTTGATGGAAATGTAATTGGATTAATGTTTCTTTAAATTCTTGTTATAGATGTGAGATCGTTTCTGACACAGATGAGTATTTTGTAAACTATAAAGCCTCCTAGAGTAAAAAGTAGTAATTTTTAAAAATTCACCTTTATCAATGAGGCTAAGCTGTGAAGGTTGATATTTGTATTTGTGAGTGAGGGATGACTGAGGGAGTATCTCCCTTAATTAAGGATCCCTAGTGATCCTAATCCAGACCTTTCATCAGTTCAGCAGAAGTATTCCTTTGCCAGAGCAGCACTGGAACCCTGGGCGTAGGGATTACGGAAACCTCTGAGACCCAAACAGGCCCTGCGCTGAGGCAGCTGCCGGGATTTTATTTGTAAAAACCCGATTTCACGTAAGTCTATCTGCTGTGGTTTTTGTTTGTTGTTGTTTTTCAGGTGGCTCCTGACATTGTAGAAGGCCTTACACAATTTGGGTGATGTTTTTTTGTTTTTTTTTTTTTAATCTAAGGAAAAGAAATTTTCGCCATGCTTTCTCCTAATGGTTCTTACCTTTTCTGTTGAGAAATGTCTTTAGAAATCATCCTCAGAAAGAACTCAAGCCACGTGAAGCTCGTTTCGCATTTCCTGTTGTAGAACAGAAACTTGTGTGGTGTGTCCTCACCAGGAGCTGTCTTTGTGTCTCTCCTTTATCCCCAGGAAACCTGTAGGAAGTGTCAGGGACTCTGGAAGGAGCACAATGGCCTCACCTGTGAAGAGCTGGCAGAGAAAGATGACATCAAGTACCGAACGTCTATGTGAGTGACCTCGTTCCGGGGGGCTTACGACGGGCCCTCCGCCCCCCCATCAGCCTGCCCTTTGTCAGGGGACAGTGAGGATCGTGTGAAGAGTAGGCTCTCAGGCCACCCCAGTATAGAGTGATCTCAGGAAGTGACCTCACCTCCCTCTGGTTCCTCACCTCTTGAGCCTCATGAAGCTGGTCCTGGAGTCAGATGTGATACAGTAAATGCCCAGCACATGCGAATTCAGTAATGTTAGTTCCTCTTCTCCGTATAAATAAGTAGTAACACATTTTAGCTGGATTAGATTGCACTAATGTTGCTTATATCCATGTTTCCTATAGGATACTGGTAGCCTGAGACACTAAGCAGAATTACAGCCTCCAGAATGCAATATAATGCAGTCAGTTAATAATCAGCACTGGGACTCTTTAGCACTCCCTATGTGGCTGAGCACTTTACAGATATTAACTCATTAAATACATTGAGTTAAATAATACAGAAGTCCATTTCTCTCTCATATAATAGTCCAGTCTTGCCACACAGATCTATCCCATGAGGTCATTCAGAGACCAGGTTCCTTTATCACATTGCTTCACCATTCCCTAAGGTGGTATTCTCATCTGCATGGTTGTGGCGGGGTTGCAGCCACATTTGCACTCCAGTCCACAGCAAAGGAGAAAGAGACAAGCTGCCAGGCAGGCAGCTTTTAAGTTATAAGATGCACGTACGTGTGTGTGTGTGTGTGTGTGTGTGTGTGTGTGTGTGACTTCTGCTCCTGCCCTATTGGTCTAGACTGAGTCACATGGCCACCACCTAGCTTCACAGCAGACACCATATATAATGTCTAGCTGGGTGATTTTATGTCCAACTTAAATTTGAAGGGTGAAGAGTGGGTTTTGTTACCAAGAAAATGAAGTAGGAAATGACTGTTTGGGGCAGTTAACAGTCTCCGAGTTTCTACCACAGGTAGGTGGTATTATCCTCATTTTACTGAATGATACAACTAAGGCACAGAGCCCAAGTAACTTGCACATGGTCACTCAGGTAGTAAGTGGTGCATAGCAGGGTTTTAAATCTAAACAAATGGTTTTCCAACTGTGTTCTTTACCACAAATTTGGTGGACAGAATGATGACCCCCAGAGATGGCCCTGCCCTAATCTCTGGAACCTGTGGCATGGCAAAAGGGATTTTCCAGATGTGATTAAGGTTATGGACCTTGAGGTGGGGAGATGATCGTGGATTATCCAGGTGAGCCCAGTCTAATCCCAGGGCTCCTTGAAAGCAGAAAGCTTTTCTGTGGTCAGATAGAGGTGTAGTGACAGACTTGGAGAGATGTGAAAAGACTCCACCTCCTGCCTCCGACTTTGGAGATGGAGGAAGGTGGCCTTGAGCCAAGGAACATGGCCATTTCTAGAAGCAGGGAGCAACCTTCAGTGTGCAGGCAGTAAGAAAACAGGAGCTCCGCCCTGCCGCCCCAAAGAAGGAATCCGCTGACAGCCCACGTGAACAGCAAACAGATTCTGTCCTGGAGTAGGTGACCTAGCCCAGTGACACCTTGGTGTTCTTCTGAGGAGACCCGTGCTGGACTTCTGCCCTACAGAACTGCAAAATAATGCAGTTGTGTTACAGCGAGCTAATAACGTGTCATGCCTTGTCACAGCAGCAGTAGAAAACTGACACGGATTTGGGGGCCGGAAGTAGAGTGTGGCTATAACAAATACATAGAAGTGTGCGAGTGGGTTTGGAATCTGTCAATGGATACAGGCTGGAGGCATCTTGCAAAGCACGATAGAAAAAAAGCCTAGACTGCCTTCAAGTGGTAGAAATACGGACTTCAGAAACCTCACCCTTGAGGGCTCAGAAGCAAGTGAGGAGCTGTGGACAAAACCAGAATTGTCCTGGAGAATACTTGAAACTTCAGTGAACAGACCTCTCGCGTCCCTTTGGCCGTAAAGGCCTGCTGGTGAGGACTCAGAAGTCAGGGCGGAACGTGTGCTTGTGTCAGTGGCAAGAGGCTCAGCCAGCTTCCCTGCGGTCATGCCGAAAGCAGAGGGTGAAGACCATGCGTCTGGACATGGAGCTGAGAGGACCCACAGGGCGAGCCCTGGAGAGAGGAAAGTGCAAGCAGGAGGAGAGATTGGGGGTCAGAAACAGGATTTGATTGTTTCTGAAATTCCCATCCCGTCCAGGTGACAAAAGACCCCAAAATCAAGATGTTCATCGTCAGAAAACGCATGCTCCTGGAGAGAAAACCGAGGAAGTGTGCCAAACGTCGGAGTCTTCAGTCACGTAAAGGCTCGAGGGAGGGACTCTTCAGATCTCTTCAGTCAGACCCAGGAGCTTCCAAGAAACTCAGACATCACCTTCCCTCAGCCATCTCAGCAGAAGTGTGTCCCAAAATCATGTCTTGTCTTCACCTGAACTTGATTTAGACGGTGAGATTTGGGACTTAGAGCTGATGCTATGGTGGATGAGACCTTTGGGGTCTTGGTTTGAGGTGGTTGTAAGGGTGTAGGATGGCTATGAATCTGGAGGCCGGAGGTAGACTGTAGTGGGCAGAAGCATGGCCCTTATCCCCAGATGTGATTACGTCTATGGCAATGAAAGAAAACTAACATGATACCACAAATGCCACTCCAACTAGAAAAGTCTAGCGTTGATTCCTCAAATCCTGTCTGCCAGCGTTTATAATTCAGAGCAGCCACCAGCTGACCAGTGGCATGGCCTTAAAGTGATGAACATGTCAAAAATTACTCTTTCTTGAAAGTAATCATCTTGTCAGGCTATTTACTTAGTCTAGTAGTTGTGCTATTGCCAAGAACATTCTAAATTTCTCCTTTGGAGTTGTCTTTCAGCCAGTTTATGAGCCACCTCCCCCCAAAATTTGTTCTGATTACTGTGGACAAGTTACGTCTGGTTTGGATTGGGAGAAGCCGAAGTTTTCTGTTGTTGCCATCTGGGCTTTTACCCCTAAGAAGGATGTCTTCTTGATGAAGTCAGTACAGATTTATTGAGTGCTCGCTGGATAGCAGTAGTTAAGAACCTTGAACAAATTTCTTAATCGTTCTGTGCCTCGGTTTCTTCATTTGTATGGTACAGAGCGTACTTGTGTGTGCCTCTCGTGGAGATGAAAGTGCTCAAGTGCCTAGCGTGATTCTGGCCCCGTAAATCTTCCGTAAGTGCTCACTGTGCCTGTGTGTGTGTGCGCACGCAAATGTGTAAGCAGAAGGCCCTAGTTCACAAACATGACACAAATCACTTACACAGATAACTTCTTGCATTGGGACTTTCTCAGGTCATGTGTTCCACCTGCAGTTGGTGACGGAGCACTGCCCAGCTCCGTAAACCGGCTGTCAGTGCCCCGGGCCCGGGCCCTGGGACTGCTCCAGGACTTGGTCACAGGCCAGGAAGTGTTTCTTAGCAAGAGAATAGCTGGTTACTTTTCAAAGCAGAACCTCCACACCGACGTCCTGTCAGTTCCTGCCTCCAGCTCCATTCGAGGTGTTGGTCTGACCTAGATTGCATCCAGTAACAACTGGAAAGCCTCTCTTGGTCTGGGCCCTACTTAAACCTGGCAGCCTTTTTTATCAGCATAAATAGATCAGAGTGGCACATCCAAGTATGATCATACGTTAATTCCAAACGTGATCATATGTTAATTCCAAAATCCAGAAAGACCTCCCAGATGTCCGACTTCTTTCTTCATGGTAGGGGATACAAGATAAGGTACCATGTGCTTGACTTTGGAGGGAACAGCATAATACACACACGTGACCTCCAGACTGCCAGCATGTCGTAGAGATTACAGATCTCTGTAGTTTGAAGGGATTGATCTCCCGCCTCCTAGCACTCATCTACCATATTAATGTATCCTAGAGTAGCTGCTACTTCCTGGTCACCCAGGTTCTATCTGCTTGTCTTTTGAATAGAAGACCACTGTATTGTCCTGTTGGACCACAGACGATCGAGGTCCTTGCCAACTGCTTCTGGTATTCTCTGCGTATCAGACAGAGAAAGCGTTTTTCAGATCAGTAGCTACATACCGGTTGCCAGAGGCTATGTGTATTTGCTCTGGTAAGAAATGACATCTGGAACAGCAGCTACAGTTGCAGGCAGCGCCTGATGAGTCACAGTAATGCACATTCTCCATACAAGTACCTACAATACAGTAATGTTCTCAAAGCCCCACTATCTGTACAGGCCAAACCGAAACAATAGGAGATGTGTTGAGAATCAGTACCGCTGTACCTTTGACGTCTTCGATGATGGCACCAATCTCAAAGATGCCCGGAGGAATCTGGTGGTACTTTCTGTAGAGAGGGGGTCCTCCGAGGGCTTCCACTTCCTTTCCCCGCTTCATAGCCCTTACTCCACAGACCAGAGGTTCCAGGGAATCGTGCCAGTTGCCTAGTGTCAAAAATAAGCAACGGCAGGGTACACACCGGGAATTATAAGCAGTTTACTGTTGCTGAATCATAAACTACAGCATAATAAGTGGTACGAGATGGGACGGGTATTCCAACTTGTACGTGAATGTTCCTGGCAGCACTATCCACAGTAGCCAAAGGTGAAAACAGCCCGGATGTCCTTCAACCGATGAACAGTAAACGGAGTTCAGTACGCCATAGAATGGGATTCTTACTCAGCCGTAAGAACAGGATGAAAATCCATGCCGCAACCTCGGCAGCCTCCTCAGTGAGAGGAGCCGGGCACAGAAGGCCACCCTCGCATCGTTCCATGTGTCTGAGCGGTCCTTAGACATGTGGATATTTGCCTGTGTGAAGAATAGAGCAGTCAGTTGGAGACAGAGACAGATGAGGGGGTGCAGGGAAAGGAGAGCGCGGGGAGTGACCTGCTTCGTACGTACGGAGTTTTTTGGGGGGATGATGAAAATGGCCTGGAACGAGATAGCAGTGATGGTTGCACATCATTGGGATATACTAAATGCCTCTGGATTTTAAAATAGCTAAAATGGAAATTTTATGTGCGTTTTGTCACAATAAAAGAAATCCATACACACATTCGCAAAGGAAAACCATCTAACATTTTGAATGGTATGTGCCACCAAAAATGACGACAGCTCCCAAATTCCCAACATACTTCAACAGTGGCGCAAATAACCAATCATGGAGCTGTAGGGTCTAGATCAGTTACGTAGAGGGGGGTCTAGGTCATTTTTGTAGAGGCGGCAGTGAGCCTTCCTGTTTGAGCACAAGGTCAGCAGACACGGCTGCAGCTCCGGCCGCTCTTCCTGTCCTGCCCAGAAACACATCCTGTGGGGATGTTTGTTTCCTGCCTCGTTTAGAATCCAGTTCCCAAATCGCTCTAATCCCAAAAGAATCAACTGATATCTCCTCATCCCAATTTGCACTTTTGTGTTACTGAACAAGTCACCACAAGCCATAAAAGCAGTCTCTGTTTGGTGTAGAAAAAGTTAATAGGGACTGGCCCTACCTCTTACTATTCTTATGATTGCAAAAACGAAGGCCTCGAACGGACCTTCCTGCCGTGTGGAACAGCTGTTTGAACATTAGAGCCATGTTGAGCGGTGCGTACTCTGTGTGCTCCTCCATTTGTCTGGGAGTGCCTTTTCTCCCCTACCATATCCACCGTTACTTTGGTGACTGATAGCATGGTGGAACAGAGCAAGCAAATAAATGTGCGCCTTCTTCCCAAGCTTTCGGGAAAGGGCTGCGTAACCTTGGTTCTTTCATCCACTCCTCTCCCACACTATAGCCATAGCAGCTACCCAGGGAAGAAGCCAGCCAGCCCCAGGCCACCAGAGCATGACAGCTCAAAGCCACACAGCAGCCTTGGAGGCGATCTTACACAAAAAGTTTGCGCATAGAGAATTGCACTTGTGTTTTGGTCACAGGTTTTTATATTGGAAACATTTGCATCAGAACCCTGTAAGTCTTAACATGGAGCATTGAGAAATGTCTTCACAGTTGCCGAGTAACTGAATTCATGAACATGTGTGCTGTATTATCAAGTTGACAATAACAAATTCACTTTATTTAAACTTTGTCTCCTTGACGATGTTTCCTATTCAGCGACACTTAGAAATCATTTATTCTTCTGTGATTTGAACTGGGTTTAAATTCTTTTCAAGCCGGAGCTTTCCTGCATTTGGGGCCTTTCAAAATTAGACCTAAATGAATAGCAGCCAATTTCCTAATTCATTTTTCTATTCTTAAGCACATGATCTGGCTTCTAAGGAGCAAACTATGACAGTCTTCTGGATATCAGTAATTAAAAACACCTGCCTGCCCCCAGACTCACCTGGCTTCCCTTACTTAGCAGATACACTGGGAGCCCTGGGAGGAAGATGGCTATTTTCTCAGTGTTAGGAGAGAGGCTACAGATCAGAACTCCTGCCCAGACTGTTGAGTCTTTTCAGGGAAACAGTTCCCTGGTCACCATTCTGGGTTCCCGCTTGGAAGAAAGAGGAGGGCTCAGAGCAGTGGGGCAAGTCCAGCTTTGGGGCTCTCCACTCTTGGAGTCCTTCCTGCCTTCCCTAGTCTCCGTAGGTGTGCCTTTTAATACCTTTGAAGAACTCAACTCAGTAGAGGAGGACAGACACATCAACAGTCACAGGCCAAGGTGGCAAGTGTCATTTTAGAGTTAGGAACACTGCACTGTGGAAGAAACTAGTCCAGCAGCGCCAGCTCTTGACAGAGAGCCAAGATGTGTCGTTTCGGCTCTAGTCCCCTGCCTCTCCAGATCAGGTAGAGTGCTTCTGGAAAGAAGTAGCTTCCGTTGGCCAGGATCGACTCCTGTGCATGCAGATCCCCTCGCTACAAGGGAGTCTGGGGATGTGGGATTTTGACGTGGAGATGGGCCCTGTCAACAGGAAGAGGTTATGAACTGGTTGCTGGATTGTCCCCACCTGTGTCTCCCCACCCCACACTAAGTATTCAAAACCGAAGGTGTCTCTGCAACTCAGGTTTAGGCCCACTGGCTCTTCGTGAACCAGCTTTGTTTATAGAAAACACATATTTAGGAAAACCTTGCGTTTTCTCTGCTTTAGGCCTGTAACAAGCAGAATAAGCAGTTTCCAAATGCTGGTGCCAGGTGCTGTGCCAGGGTACTTGATATTCATACCTGATAATCCTCAAAACGTGATGGAGGCAGCTGGGCTTTCCTAATTTAAAAATGAAGCAACTGAGTCTCCGAGCGGTTGTGGGATTTACCCAGGGTCACATAACTAATAAACCGAACGTAGTTATCGACTCCAAAGCAGAGGTTCTTTGCACTCTCCGGGTGTCACTAGAAGGGCTAGGCGGTCCCCTGTGGGAAAACGGACTTAGTGGCCACAGCGCTTTTCTCTTCCTGTCATCTTCCCTGCTGTCTCCTCTCATGTGTTCTCTTCTCAGTGAGGAAAAAATGACAGCAGCCCGCATCAGGAAATGCCACAAGTGTGGGACCGGCCTCATCAAATCCGAAGGCTGCAACCGCATGTCTTGCCGCTGTGGCGCCCAAATGTGCTACCTCTGTCGAGTGTCCATCAGCGGCTATGACCATTTCTGCCAGCATCCTCGCTCACCGGGAGCTCCTTGCCAGGAGTGTTCAAGATGCTCTCTCTGGACCGACCCCACCGTAAGTGAATGCATGGCTGCCTGTTGCTTTGTAGGGGGCAATCGTGGTAAGATGACATACTGAAAAGGGATTTTATATACACATAACTCATTGGGACTTCTGGAAAGATATGAAATTACATAGACCAATGACCACGGGGAAAAAATGAGAAAGTAATTAAAAAGCAACTCCTCAAGAAAGCAGCATGCCCAGTTTATAGGCAGAGTCTTACAATCCTTCAGGGAATAAAATGTTTCTGTGCCATCTAAAACAAATCCCAGAGCATAGAAAAGTAAAGATAGTTTTACGTATTTGTGTATAAAGCATAATGCTGATACCAAAACCTGACAGAGATAACCCTAAAAAAAGAAAATTACATCCGTCTAACTCATTAATATAGGTTTTAAACTCTGTAAATAAAGGGGCGCCTGGGTGGCTCAGTCATTTGAACATCCAACTCTTGATCTTGGCTCAGGTCATGATCCCAGGGTCATGGGATCGAGCCCCGCATCAGGCTCCATGCTGAGTATGGAGCCAGCTTGAGATTCTCTCCCCTCCCCCCTCCCTTGCTCATGCTTGCTCGCTCTGTCTTTAGATAAAAATAAATCCGGGGCGCCTGGGTGGCGCAGTCGGTTAAGCGTCCGACTTCAGCCAGGTCACGATCTCGCGGTCCGTGAGTTCGAGCCCCGCGTCGGGCTCTGGGCTGATGGCTCAGAGCCTGGAGCCTGTTTCCGATTCTGTGTCTCCCTCTCTCTCTGACCCTCCCCCGTTCATGCTCTGTCTCTCTCTGTCCCAAAAATAAATAAACGTTGAAAAAAAAAAATTAAAAAAAAAAAAATAAATTCTCGGGGCGCCTGGGTGGCTCAGTTGGTCGAGCGTCTGACTTCGACTCAGGTCATGATCTCATGGTCGTGAGTTCCAGCCCCGCGTCGGGCTCTGTGCTGATGGCTCAGAGCTGGAGCCTGTTTCAGATTTTGTGTCTCCCTCTCTCTCTGCCCCTCCCCTGTTCATGCTCTGTCTCAAAAATAAATAAACGTTAAAAAATTTTTTTAAAAAAATAATAAATTCTCTAAGTAAAATATCAGCAAATAGAAACTATAACCAAGTGAGATTGTTCCAGAAATCCAAAAGATGGTTTAATACTGAGAGCTTTATTAATACACTTCACCATATGATATCTTTAGATGGTAAAAGACATGTAATAAAATCAAATATCTATCTTAAGGCTTAAAGAGTAGTATAGAAGGTTGATTTTTTTAAATCCTATATTTCAGAATAGTCCTTCAGCATGTTTTTAATAGTGAAATACATAGAAGCATTACCAAAGGTCAAATATAAGACCATCACCACTATTTTGTTTTGGAACTGCTCGTCAGTTCAGTTAGCTAAGAGAGCAGAAGTTAGAGAACATAATTGCTGGTGTTTACTGGACATCCACTGTGTTTCAGGCACAGTTCTAAGCACTTTTAAATGTAGTGAAGAAAGTTAAATCTACCGTTTTAAGCCTAAGACAAAATAATCAACTGGAAAGCTATTAGAGGCCATAGCCATACAAAGATGGCTAGATACAAAATAAATACACAGAATGTCATTCACTGTCATTCATATTATATAGCAATACAAGTCATAAAATATCCTAGAGATTAGGAGATTAGGTTCAACAAGAAATACGAAGAAAACTATAAAACTATATTGAAAGACATGAAGAGACTTGAACATATGGAAAAATATGCTTTCTTCTCAAGTAAGTTTTCACATAAACTGTATCACTTCTTAAAGTGAGTTCTAAGTTTGAAACTCTGAATCAGTGATAAGCTGATCTGGGCCAGGAGTTGTTCTCCCACAAAGATTGAGCAGAACAGTGAAAACCCTGCAAGCGTGGAGCAAACAAAAGGCCTGAGGAAGGTGCACCAGAGCCCCGGGGGCGCCAGCCCACTCTTCTGCACTCCCTGGGGCCAATGAGGACGGCCTGAGAGTGGAGACGCACCTCCCCCTCTAAGGGAAGACAGCACTTCTATCCGGAATCTAGACGTTTGCTGTGATTCCCATTTAAACTCAGTAGGATGGTTTTTTTCCCTTGAAAAATTGCTTCTAATGAGACTAATTTTTACTAAGCTGCGCTAATCATGTAGACTCAAGACTAGACCAGAGGACAAAACAGAGACCGGAAACACGTTAAATGAGAATTTAATGTGATAAAAATATTGGTTTTTATGTTTTGGTTTTTTTAAGTTCTTATTTAAAGTAATCTTTGGGGTGCCTGGGTGAATCATCCTGCTTCGGCTCAGGTCATGATCTCGTGGTTCATAGGTTCAAGCCCTGCGTCAGACTCTGTGCTGACAGCTCAGAGCCTGGATGGTGCTTCAGATTCTGTGTCTCCTTTTCTTTCTGCCCCTCCCCAACTCGTGTTCGTTCTCTCTCTCTCTCTCTCTCTCTCCCTCCCTCCCTCACTCCCTCCCTCCCCCCCTCCCTCTCCCTCTCCCTCCCCTTCCTCTTTCTTCCTGTCTCTCTCAAAAATAAACAAACATTAAGAAATAAATAAAGTAATTTCTACCCCCAACGTAGGGCTTGAACTCACAACCCCAAGATCAAGAGTATCATGCTGTACCAAGTGAGCCAGCCAGACAACCCTGAAAATATCCTTTCAGATCACTTGGAGAAATGATAGATGCACCCGTTCTTTTTTTCTTAACTACTCCGTGTTGCCAGGACTAGTCTGAACAGAAAAGCCCCGTCGTCATGGAGTTTACAGTCTGAGATGAGTCCTTCGTGTAGTTGGTGTTACGCAGGACTGACGAGTCATGCCACAGAGAAGGCTAGCGCAGGAGAGGGAGGCTAGGCCGCCTTTAGGTGGAGTGACCTGTGCAGGCTCCCCCGGAGGCAGCATTTGCAGAGAGGCCTGCCTGAGGAGGAGGAAATCAAATGAATTCAGCCTATTTGGGGACCAGAAAGAAGGCTGTGTATCGTGCAGGTGGTGGCTGAGAGGAGGAAAGTGAGGGAGGCAGGCACAGCCAGGCCGTGTGTCTCACCAGCTACAGTGGGAGCTGCTGCAGGGCTTACATGGGGGGGGGTGACTTGGCCTAATGTAAGTGTTCAAGATCACACTGGCTACCATGTGGCAAGAGAAACCTTCAGCAGCTCTTTTGGGGCACTGGGCTATTTGGAAATACTTCAAGAAAACAAGAGAAAATGACTTCTATCATCCCCTAAGTGCGAAGATCCTTCTTAGTGGTATATCGAGGCCAGACTAAAATTACTTAAATCCTCTTTGGCAAAAGACATCGTAAACAAAGATAAAGTTAAATGAAAAACTGGGGGAAATCGTTGTAACACGCATATGATACAGATGAATAGTAAAATGTAATGACACGGGCACCTGGGTGGCTCAGTCGGTTAAGCGTCCGACTTCAGCTCAGGTCATGATCTCACCGTCCGTGAATTCAGGCCCCGAGTCGGGCTCTGTGCTGACAGTTCAAAGCCTGGAACTTGCTTTGGATTCTGCGTCTTCCTCTCTCTCTGCCCCTCCCCCACCCCCCCTCTGTCTCTCTGTCTCTGAAAAATGAATAAACCTTAAAAATATATATATGTAATGAGTAATACGACTCAATAAGAAATCAATAAACATCCCTCTGTTAATAAGGATCAATTTGGCTGTGACTCACGGAAGTCCAAAAACAGCAGTGGATTAGACAAGATAGAATTTTATTTTTTCATCACATGTTAAGTACAGCAGCGAACAGCCCGAGAGTGGGATGCTGGTATTAGGAGAGTACACAGCTATAAAAAGTGATGCTGGGGCGCCTGGCTGGCTCAGTCAGTAGAGCATGTGACTCTTGATCTCAGTTCGAGCCCCACATTGGGGGTAGAGTTTACTTAAAAAAAATTTTTTTAAGCGATGCTATATGTATACATTTTTTTTTAACTTAAATATCCAGGTAATATATACTGCATTAATAAGATGCTATATAGCTATATTTTAAAACATGGTGGAAGAAAAACATGGAAAGATCTACACATAGGACACCCAACAGCATGTAGCTGGGATCACGGACCCAGGTTACCGCAGGGGCAATAGTAACATAAATGATTGGTGAATGTCAAGTGGGGCCAGGTCTGGGACCATAGGGTGTGGTGGGGACTGTGGCAAACAGGAGAGGGTATAAGCGTCCATCTAAGGCTGCCCCTCGGCCCCCACAGATTGTTGCCAAGTGAGATTTTACTCCTAGTTACTTAGCCATGGCTTCACATTCTCCAGAGAAGGTAGAAATCTGTACTTTAATATGATCTCTCCTGATTGTTAAAGATTAGCCCTTAATCCAAGTATCTTTAAAACACAGTTTAAACTAGCACTTTATAAGCCAAAGGAAACGCCTTGTCAGCCAGCAGACTTGACCCCTGCTGCAGAACATCTCCAATGTGCCTGACAAGAGGAGGTGTCGGTAACAGGCCGGCCCCTGTGTGACAGCCACAACAGAGCATTCTCCTGGCCTACCCATAATCCTCGGAGCGACCAGTTTTGAAAAGCAAGGAGTCGTATATGGAAACCAGGTGTGTGCGTGTCAGGAACAACCTCACTGGGCAGAAAATTGGGCTGAGGGACCCAGAAATCGCTCTCACTCCACAGCTCTGTGACTGAGACTGTTAGCAAGCCTTCCTCCCCGCCACCCACTCCCACCCCCCATCACCAAAGGAAGGGCAGACTTTGTAAATAGGTCATCCTTCTGGTGTTGGTTTGATGGAGTGGAGGAAGGTGTGGCCCTCAGTGACACGGGCTCACTAAGGTGATCCGCGGGGCCTCTGGGGACGAACCTTCCCGGGACCTGGCATTTCTGCCGACCTGCTTCCTCAGTGCCATGCAGCTTAGCAAACTGGGGGAACTATGTGAGGAAATAGGATTTTTTCTTTTAAGTTTATTTATTTGAAGAGAAAGGGAGAGCGGGGGAGGGGCAGAAAAAGCAGGAGAGAGAGAATCCCAAGCAGGCTCCATGCTCTCAGCACAGAGCCTGACACGGGGCTCAATC